CTTTAAAAATGAAATCAAAATTAGCCGACGGAGTCTAAACGAAAGTTGTAGATCATAATCTCACCTACGCGTGGATATAAAGAACGTCTAAAACAGAGCTTGTATGCTAAAGATATGAATTTCTAAAGTTCGGAGCACAAACTTCGAGACCTGACAGAACTCACGACGTGAACAAGAGGTTCACGACGTGAATTAGTGGATCAACACCTATCAAGCCTAGAAGACACGCGGCAAACCTACGAGCTGATCGGGATCAAAGTCACGACGTGAACATACATGGTTCACGACGTGAATGACGAATTTTCAGCCTATAAATACCAAGCTAGACCTCCGGGTTTTGTTTACAATTCTCATTTCTCTCTCAGTCTTTACTCCCTTTTAGCCTACTTTTAACCCCCTGAAGTCCCGGTATTATCCCGACAGCCGAAGCAAGTCCCGACGCCCCAAAGATCCCGATAAAAAGAGTTTTCGAGCCGAAACTCTGCCCGCGTGAAGCCCGGTTTTCGAGAAAACATCCCGGTTTCATCAAAGAATATGATTTTTAGAGCCGAAGTACTGTCCAATCATCGTCTTAACAAGTGAGTGTGTAGTCACTTTCATCTAACACATAGATATGAAGTATTTTCTAGAAAATACGTGCTATGTGTTTAAATATTATTTGTTTATTTGAGATGGATGTTGATTGAATGTTTTATACAGGTTTTAAACTGTATATGTATTTTTTTTTATCTACAAAAAATGTTGGGGTAAAACATGGGTAGATAGTTGGTGTGTGACAAAATAAAGTAATGAGAGGCCTCGATGTTATTGTTGTTCCAGTCATCTAGCGGAGTTTAGATAACGACCACGGACTTTTCTAGACAGTCCAGTGGAACGCTGGCAGGCTCGCAACCTGTAGGTGTTAATGAACTTGGGTGTTCATTTGCTGTACTCCATCCCCCACATGGTTGCCTTATTTGACTTAAATTGCTGGGAAACACCCGAAGCATTGTTGTCGCCCCGATGAAAATTCTTAGGCTAAGTCCCTTGTGATAGTTGTTTTAGGGACGTAAAGTGAGGATAACAGGAATGAGTAATCGGGTTATTGTTGATTGATGAAATTAATATAATTATTTATTGTGGGTTGAAAACCCTATATGCTCACCAGGCTCCCAAGCCTGACCCACTCAGCTTTTTATATTATAGGTAGTAGACCCAGAGCATAGTTGGAAGATGATGAGAGATTTTTGGATTATAGGCCAGTAGATGTAAATATCTGTTGTAAGGCTTATAATGTATTGTTTATGCTTTTGGTCTGTATAGGAACATGACATCCCGAGGTTTTGATATATAATGAAAATATATATTTCTTTAAGAAATGTTTTGATAAATTTTTATCATGTTTTGTTTTGGGGACAAATTCCGCAACATCTTTTAAAAAGATTACTCTGATATTATTTTAAAAGCATAAAACTAAATCGGTCTTTTCTGGCCGAGAAATTTGGGGATGTCACACTTGTATATCTTTAAATGTACCGATTTATTTGTATATGATGAAAATGTTGAAATCATCAAAAAAAAATTCAAATGTATTTATGTAAATTCACATTTAATTTAGTTAGATTCATATGTGAATGTGAACTTTTGTTCGAATTTACATGTAAATCTGATATATCTATTTTAGCGATCGTTCGTATAGATATTTTTAATTTATATCCATCATTAAAATGTGAATGTTGACTAAAAATCAATATATTTTATCGATTTTTATAAATGACGGTCTTGTAAATTTTATAGATTTCAACATTTTGATTATACACAAATAAATATTTCTGGTAATCATAGGTAAATTTATTCAAATTCACATATAAATAACATAAAATTTGTTTGAAAAAGTCGGGTACAATAAACGTTTACATGTGATTATTTTATAAATATTTTAAAAGATTCACATGAAAATCTGAACATAAATTTTGCGAAAAAAATTATTATTTTTTATATATTATACATCGATATGAATGTTTATTTAAAGAGTACAAAAAATTATGAATTTTAATATATATATTTTTGATAAACAATAAACTTTAACTTTTCAAAAACAAAGAAAATAAAATGAATTTCATTTTTTATATATCAATACTGATATATATTTAAAAAGAAAAATCATGAACATTAATATATTTAGTTTTTTTTTTCTAAAAATACATGCTTAAAAAAATAAAACAAAAAACTAAAATTGACTCTTTGGTGATAAATACATATCCATTGTATAAATCTACAACCTATATAACCATATAACCAATATTTTGGTGTCGGTCGTTTTTATATTCCGCTTTTGGTTGTATTAAGGGAAAACGACTTATATGGGTAAGTATGTTTCAAAATCGTTCAAAAAATATCATTCAAGTTTGGTGTGTCCAAAAAACACCATCCAAGTAAAGCATTTTGTACAAAAAACACCAACGAAGTACATTCTTTGTTCAAAATTGACCTTGTTGTAACCGGCAATTACCGGTAAAAAATAAGTAAAGGAAAAAAAAACAAGAGGAAATGACTCAAAGGGGTAACTATGTTTCAAAATCGTTCAAAAAACATCATCCAAGTTTAGTATGTTTAAAAAACACCATCCAAGTAAACTTTTCGTACAAAAAACACCAACAAACTATATGTTTGTTCAAATATTACCCACCGTTAACTGACTATTATAGGTTAAATGATGACTTGGCTTAACTATTATGACATGACATAATAATTATTGACAAACAATAAATGATATATTCCTCCTTTAAAAATCGATTTAGGGTTTCTTCATGAACGAATGACTTCTTCTTCTCCTATGATTGCTCTTCTTCTTCTAAAGTGATGATCTCGAACTCAAATCCAAAACCCAAATTCTTGACTTAAGGCAAAAAGGGCTCCTTTACCCCTGCCTAAATGGGCCTCCCTCCCCCAAAGGCCCAAATGCATAAAATGCCCAAAAAGTCATCCAAGCCCAACTACAAGGCCTCTAAGGCCCAATATGGCCCAAGAACCCCCCCCCCCCCCCAACATGGCCTTAAGCCCAAAAAATGACCTGCTACAATCAGGTGGACCTGAGGCCTAACTTAAACAAGTCCATGCATACGCCCAACATATGTTGAAGCCTCTGTGATCCGCATGTCGAGCCAGTACGTCGGACGTACTCCAAGCGTACGCCCAACGTACTCGGCTAGGGTCAAGAACCGTCAATCTTCCGAAGGCCATAACTTCTTCATTCTAAGTCTGATATCGTCATTCTTTATATCCACGGGAAGGAAACGAGAAGCTCTACACTTCTATCAACTCTCCCTTGCCTTAAAACTTTTTTAACATAAACCCAAACTTCATAAAGGCTTGAACTGATACTTACTGATATACCCTTGGGCTCCAACACAAACCAAACACTCGGTCCCCACAACCTACATTATCCATCACCAAATGGGTGTTACAGACACCACGACTTGTTACGAACGAATATAAATTCGAATACATCGTACACAAGTATCAGAACCATATCCCAGGAAACATGCAAAAGAAATGATACGAAACAATAAAATAACAAGGAAAGGACAAGAGACGTGCATGTCTGTAGACCGGATAATAAATGAAGGACCTGTCAAGACTATAAACTATTCTAACAACAAGTAGCCTATTAAATACCCCAAAGACATGATATCCGAGGCAGAGTAAGGTAAGGCAAAAAAGAGATAGCATACATAGAATGAAGAGTTATGGCCTTCGGAAGATTGGTGGTTCTTGACCCTAGCCGAGTACGCGGGGCGTATGCTTGGAGTACCTCGGGCGTACTGGCTCGACATTCGGATCGCAGAGGCTTCAGCATATGTTGGGCGTATGCATGGACTTGTTTAAGTTAGGCCTCAGGCCCACCTGATTGTAGCAGGTCATTTTTTGGGCTTAAGGTCATGTTGGGGTTCTTAGGCCATATTGGGCCTTAGAGGCCTTGTAGTTGGGCTTGGATGACTTTTTGGGCTTTTTATGGATTTGGGCCTTAGGGGGAGGGAGGCCCATTGAGGCAGGGGTAAAGGAGCCCTTTTTGCCTTAAGTCAAGAATTAGGGTTTTGGACTTGAGTTCGAGATCATCACTTTAGAAGAAGAAGAGCAATCATAGGAGAAGAAGAAGTCATTCGTTCATGAAGAAAACTTAAATCGGTTTTTAAAGGAGGAATATACCATTTATTGTTTTGTCAATAATTATTATGTCATGTCATAATAGTTAAGCCAAGTCATCATTTAGCCTGTAAGAGTCAATTACCGGTGGGTAATATTTGAACAAACATATAGTTTGTTGGTGTTTTTTGTACGAAAAGTTTACTTGGATGATGTTTTTTAAACATACTAAACTTGAATGATGTTTTTTGAATGATTTTGAAACATAGTTACCCCTTTGAGTCATTTCCTCTTGTTTTTTTTTCCTTTACTTATTTTTTACCGGTAATTGCCGGTTACCACAAGGTCAAATTTGAACAAAGAATGTACTTTGTTAGTGTTTTTTGTACAAATGCTTTACTTGGATGGTGTTTTTTTAGACACACCAAACTTAAATGGTATTTTTTGAACGATTTTGAAACATAGTTACCCATATAAGTCATTTTCCCTTCTATTAAATACAATAAAAGAAAAAGAACAAGACTTATAAGATAATTCAAAAGTAGTAAAGAAAAGAAAAAGGTGTTTAGACATAAAAGTACGATATTATCCAGGAAAGAACCACTAACTTTCTGCCAGATCTTTTTCAATCCATCTAAAAGTCTTCGAGTGCACCAAACCTTGTATACAACCTAAAGAATCCAGTGTGCCAACGTATCAAGGCCACAACATATTTGTGGCTCAAAAACCTTCTCACAAGCTGATGTGGCATCCACCTTTCTCCCACAACCCCCTATATTTTTCAAACCTATTCCTACCAAGACTTCTGCCACTTCCCCACTTAGATTTTTACACTCAACATCTACTTTTCTCCATCGCCGGCAACCACCACCCTCATGACGGATCCCGGTATCATATTGTTTGGGAAAAAGATCGGGTCTTTGGAAACCTTCAAGATTTCCGATTCTCCCCCCTTCGCCGTCGCTGATGGTGGCGATAATGGTTTTCCGATGGACGACAGCCCGAAAACACCATCTATCGATGAAGACGATTCGCCGGAGAAACACCAAACCACCGGAGGTCTAAAGAAACCCGACAAGATTCTCCCTTGTCCTCGATGTGAAAGCATGAACACGAAGTTTTGTTATTACAACAACTCGAACGTGAACCAGCCACGCCATTTTTGCAAGAGTTGTCAGAGGTACTGGACTGCCGGAGGCACGATGAGGAATATGCCGGTCGGAGCAGGTCGCCGGAAGAAAAAGAACACTTCATCGGATTGTCGTTTCATTATCTCTCACGAAGCTTTTGATGTCGGACCTCAGATTGAATTCGCTGCTGATAATTCCGACGGAGTTTACAATACTTCTCGTCAACCAAAAGTTCTTTCCTTTACTCCAAATTCGCCGTTGTGTAGAGGGAAAGAAAGCGGAGACGATTGTTCTAGTGGAACAACCACCGTTGTTTTCTTCCAATTCCGTTGTTGAGAAACCAAAGGAGAATAACGGATTCCATTCTCAAGTTCATTGGATTCCAGGGACTCCATGGTCGTATAATCCATGGGTTCCAATGCAGATTCCGACGGGATACCCTCCGATTCCATTCTACCCTCCGCCGTACTGGAATTCCGTTTCCTGGTTACCTCCGGCGACCTCTGCTCCAAACTATTCTGTCCTGGGAAAACATTCATCAGATCGGGAATCAATTAACCCAATTGAGGAGCCGAAGAAACAGAAGAATTCGATTCTAATCCCCAAAACGCTTAGAATCGATGATCCAGATGAAGCTGCGAAGAGTTCTATATGGGCAACACTCGGAATCAAGAACGAAAACTGTAGCAGACGAGATCTTTTCAAGGGGTTTCAATCAAAAGGAGATGAAAAGAAGAAACAACCGATCACAGAACCTTCGTTATTATTACAAGCAAATCCCTGCTGCGTTTTCAAGATCGCTTTACTTTCAGGAAAGAGCCTAATGTGATTTGTGTGAATACGATGTTAAAAATCAGTATAATATAATAGGAGGGAATAGCAATAGGGTTAATGTGTTTTTTTATAGTTTTAGTGTTTTAGATGTTCAGATTTTTGTAAATCTTTTCTTGAACTTTGAATGATAATCAAACAGGATGAACATTTCTATACAAGATAACTGTTAAAGCGTTAAATGTCAAGTGTTAAGAGTTAATCACTAAGAAAGCATCAATGAGCAGTACTGTACAACCCATTGATGCATACAACCATCACTTTAGAGTGCACCTTACTATATGATAAGTATATCTTTATATCTAATAATCTTAGAGTGCACCTTACTTACATTATCTTTATATCTAATAATCTTGGTAATATGGGTGGATATATCAAAATCAGAAGAAAAGTATTAAAAAGATCGAAGATATTTTCATGTCATCAAGAAACTGAGGCCACATTTTGGGTGTAAAATTGAGTTGTTTTGTGGTCCCAAAATGGCATATATATGTATATCTATATATCTTTTGTAATGGGTATTTTCTTCCTTTTGCTTTCTTGTTCTATAAAGTAGTGGTGGAACTATGGTGGCCCATATTTGTTTATATTGGTAATTTATATAATATTAAGTTTTGTATGATCTATAAAATCGAATCAATGGCTCTCAAATCAATCGATCAAGGCCACACATTTGGTAAAATTATCTGACAAGTTTGAGAATATCCAGCTATACTTATTTAATTATATCATGTGGGTATGTGTATCTCATTTGGAAAAGGAAGTTCATGGCGTATTATGGAGATATATATCAAATAGTATAAATAAGGAAAAGCGACAGCTTTGACGAAAGTATCTTTATACATACAACCTTTTTTTTACATCGTTAGAAACCTAAAAATCCTAGAATGGTAATAACTGTCAGGTGAATTTAAGATAATGAAACCGTCTAATGGACAGATCCACATGTGTGCAGCCTAAAGTACAACAATTTCCTGGAATGATGCATGCATGTACATGTAGTTGTAAGATGTATTTTAGTGTATGGACATTTGTTACGACATAATCTTACTAATGGGTTATGGGGATACAAACAGGCTATAAAGGCATCAAATATAATCCAACAAACAACAAATAGGAATTCTAGTTTCAAGCAAAAGAAATTAAATATCCTCCTACATTTTATTCCTAATGATCCTCCTACCATATAAAATGGTGACAAGTGGATTAAATTAGTATTAATTTCATTAAATGTGTCATTAAATTTTGACACATGTCAACATTTGATATGGTAGGAGGATGAGTAGGAATAAAATGTAGGAGGATATTTAATTTCTCTTGAAGCAAACATAAAAATCTCAATATCTCATAATCCATAAGATAATCAAAAGTTCAATCAAATATAATCCAACAAACAACAAATAGGGTGTTTAAACCCCTGTAGTCTTTGATTTTCTTATTCCAGCTAGTGGAGCGGTTGTATAGAATCCAAACTAGGATTCCTCTTTCGTAGTCACACCCAAGAATTATGCTAGCAACCTTGACAACCTTCTTGAACTGCAGAGAACTCAACCCTAAACGATTAGGGTTATGTTCGTCTAATGCGCCGTGTAACTCTATCGATCGTGACGCGAACTTCGAGCATATGTGTTTCTTTGAGAGTGGGTGAGGGTTGCCGAATTTAGGGTTGAGAGATCAGCCTCAAATCCACTTATGGGTACTTCTATTCATAGGGGAGAGTGTAGAATCCTTATTTGATAATTACTTGGTCACTAAGTTATTATCCTTAAAATTCGACTTTCAAATCTTTACACTTTAATACTTTAAGTTCTATATGTGTCTATTAATTTATTAAACACTAATAAATTAAAAAAATTAGATCCCTAATATTATCTCTTGTCAATTATTGTTTCAAGTGTCATTGCGTGTAACCCATAAATACTTTGCTATTAATAGTAATATTACCAACTATTGTGACTGCACACACTATTTCCAACACTTTTCCACTTGCACAAGTCACCAACAATATGTGGTCATATATTCCCTAATAATAAACAGAAGGTATGTCATACAATGCAACTGTTGTATTCATACAAGCTAGCTATGAGACAACCCTTAGATAAGTGATCAAATATTCTTTTGTTTTACAAGATATCTATATGAACCCGAGACATGGAAGCGCATCATCTCAATGTTCAAGATTATGTTTCCCGATAGAGATTTATGATGACCACATCAGACTGTTATGTTCATCTTATCAACTTAGTTAGATCTTGGCAAAACATTTAATGTCAACACCAAATCATCGATGTAATACCTAATTTTCATAACAGGTATTGTTTCGAGGGGTACAACTTGTTTATGAGGCAAGTAGGAGACATAAAGAATGAAGTTTGCTTTAAGTCATTTATAGAAGATGTATTGGTGTTAAGTTGTGAAGTAGATGGAGATAAATAACAGATTTTAAAGTAGGTTGACATTTATGGAAACTTGCAGCACAAGTATACTTACGCATGAAGCGATGGATGGGGTCAAACCTTAGTCAATGGGTCAAGGTCAAAGTCGTGGTCAACGGAAGTCAAGGACCACGTCGTGACGCAAAGTGGTGTTTATTACAACGATATGAAGTGTTTGGTGTTGGACACATTCTGAGAAGTGCAGACACGTGTCAAGTGAGTGAGACATGTGTCAGCAGGAGACAACACATGGCAATGTGATGTTGCATGATCGCGACGCAACGTCCTTATGGCTCCGATGCGATTCCTCAATTCTTTCATGTACATAAAGGTGGTATTGTTGTTCATTTGAAGAGTTTGGACATCTAAATTCAGATGAGATTTAGAGAGAAATTAGTTATCAAGATTATGACCGGGGAGTCAGTGCTAGAACGTGAGGGTACGAGTTATCAACCGAGTTGAGGTATCATCTTTGTTATGTTATTGTGTTGTCATGTTTTATAGCGTAATTATGATGGGCGTTGGAATCCAAGTTAGTTGTTAGGAGTCATAATATAGTGCTATTTATGAACTATGTTATGCGTCTAATAGGTGAATTCCATGAACTGGTTGATGTGGGTTATAAACCCTAACTAGTGGAATTTTTAAAAATGTAAGATTTAGCTAATAACTTATGAGATTAAGTTATCTAGTCGTTGTACTATGAAGTTTAATTAGTTTGATGACAATTAGTTGCGAAGTTTAGATCGTAGTGAGTTATGACAGGTTCTGATGAACTTGTTATTTGTTGAATATGTGTTAGTTTGTGGCAAGCTCAGAGGCAGTGGAGGCCAGAGACTGAAGTAGGAGTTAGCCTTACCAACTAACTAGGTGAGTAACTCTACTCTAACACCTGATGTTGTTGAATTATTTGTGGAACGTATTGTGTTATTAATAAATTGTTTATTATTATGTTGAATATTTTGGAGTTATATATATATATATATATATATATATATATATATATATATATATATATATATATATATATATATATATATGGTAATAATTGACATGTATAATTGACCGAACAGGTGGAGGTATAATTACTTTGGACGATGTAAATCCAAAGTAGGGTATTATAGTAGTTGTAAATAACCAATTAGCCTTATGGGTGTTATAAGGTAAAGAATAATAGGTGTTAAAAGTTGTTATGTCTCAGATGGTGTCATGAGACGATAATTTTTTTGAGTAATTGAAGTTGTATTATGTAATTGGAGTATGTAGTAAATCATATATATTGTTATATACATTAATGAAGTGTGATGTTATTTTAGGTGTTATTCACTAAGCCTTTGGATTACACTGTTTTGTTGTTGTGTTGCAAGTTGGATTATTGTAGTGCCCGGCTTGGATCATGTACATGATGCCAGTACGAATCATGGTGATAACTCATTGTAAAACAGTGTATTAGTGTAAACCAAAATGTTTTATAAAGTTCTAAATAACTGAACTTTTAGGGTGTACCTAGTATGAAAATATGGGTGTTACAATCGTGGGGCCCAGAGATATCGCCTCTTCCGTTATGGCAGAATGAACAAAAAAACTTCAACTACATACAACATTGGAGAAATCCAAGGCATAACAAACTACAGGACTAAAGTCACCTACATCTCCATTTAAAGAATACAACATATTATCATCTTAGAATCACCCGTGACAATTTCCATGAGGTAATCTCTAAGTGCAGGTTACTCCAATAGTTAATCTCCATTAAATACTCATGAATATTAGTCGCATCTCTATGTTATGCCCATCACCATGGACAATATACTACTAGTCCATGACAATCTTAAATAATTACTTACTTCTAGAAGTAGGACTGATTGTGGAGGTTTGAGTAAATTAATACTCTGGAAATTGGTTCAAAACATGCAAAAATGGAACACATAAATAGATTAATCCAAATGGTTGCAATCCAACACGTTATTAAGTTACTACAAAATAATCACCAAGTCATATAGAATTTACATTGTATAAGTTCCAAAATATCAAACTATAAGTTAAATTATTCTACACGACTCATATATTGAAACAATTTCGATTTTTCAAAAGAACAAAGTGACTTAAAATATTTTATGAAATTAGTGACTTGATCTAATCAAGTCAAAACGCGTGCAAATCAGTTTACATAAATCCATTGGTTATAATGAGAAAAAGGACATAAACTAGTGGCTCTAATACTACTAATGGAATATATATATATATATATATATATATATATATATATATATATATATATATATATATATATATAAATATAACCACAAAAACCGAAAAGGCAGCGGAAGCACAAACAAAACATATTCTAGCTGGAGGATCACAAATCCATGTACAATTTGCAAAAAAAAAAACCATATAAATAAGGAAAAACTAGAATTCATACCCTTGCCGTACTTTGATTTTTCTTTTGGTTTTGATGTGTTGTGTGGATGTATAAAACCCAAACCATAGTTCCTATCTTGTACTCAAACCCAAAGAGAAGATCCTTGAAAGAATTGGAAACCTCCTTAGCTTATAATCA